GTATGTCGCAGTCCCTGAAAGGCCATATCTGAAGATAGGTGGAAGGAAGAAAAGACTCTCTAGTCCTAATGATGGACCATCATTGAGGAGCGAACATGAAACAAGGTTCTCCTTAGATAAAGTCCTAAGGAATACGAGAGTATAGAAATTTCTATGTTGAATCTTGATCAACCAGAGAAGGGTCCCTATATACCTAACTCTGTGCACTTCAAACCTGAGTTAGAAGTTATATTCCTTGACTATGAAGGTGAAGTAAGATTTCAGAGAATGTCTGAGCTACATCTATGCCCAATGGGACATCTAATTTATATAATGTTCTGGGTAGATGATAGCTTGCAAGGAAAAGCWGTGGATCGAAAGATACGAAGAGAATTCCTACGTCGAAAGAAGCTTGGAGAAGATGTACCTGGCTACATTAATCTGAACATCCTAGACTAGTTTATCTTTCTTTGTAATTTTGTCCACATTTTCTCTTGTAATTTATTTACTATGTCTACTTTCAGTGATTAATCTTATAGTATGTAAGCTTTAGACATGTACTGAACAACTTGTAATATTTTCAATGAATATAATATAAGTGTTTCTTGTAATTCACTGAAAAAGATCCCTGAAAAAAGTAATAGGGACACAAGTCTATGAGTTCCAATGTTACTTTTCACATTCACTGACAATCTATAAGTCAGTGAATAAGCTTTCAGTTTCAGTCTCTATTCTTGTAACTTCTCTTAAATGTAACTTAAGAAAATTCTTCAAGTAAAGACTGACTCATTGAAAAAGATCCCAAAATAGTTAAAAGGGACATATAATTTATATGTTACTTTTCCTTACTATTTGTTGATAAGACAACTTTCTTTATGTTGTCTTGTTATCATCAAATAGAGAGAGATTGTTGATCATCTCTCTCATTTGATTTGATGATAATCCCTTGTATCCTATGTGAAGTATTTATGTTTCTGTTTTTCAGTTCCAGCGATCATCACTAAGTTTGTTCAGTGATCGCTGAAGAACTTGTATTGTAAATCCAATCAGTGACAGGGATACTTCAAGAAGACAACACTCACGCCAAAGAACCTTCAGCGAAAGTCGAAGACTGAAACTGAAGATTAGAGACTAGCGAGTACATGATCTGAAGCGGTATTTAGTGATTACAAGTCTGTCTACATATATGTGAAGACTGCCCAAGCCTCAGCGTATGCTGAAGAGACCTTCAGGTTATTCCAGCATTCAGCGATCAAAAGAAGCTTGTTGAGCACGATTGTTGTTGTCCTGTTCTTATACACACAAAGGACAAACTCATACCCTTTCTAAACGTTAGTACGGTACGGAGCCGATTAATTAACTCTATACCCACCAACTTTATGAAAGGATGTATGCTCATGAATAGGCTTTTGTACTATTCACTGTAGCAAAGAACAAGCCTTCCCCTTAAGGCTTGACACGTGTTCTAACCCTACCACGTTGCATTAAATGTGCATTTAATGCAATGGGTATAAATAGATGTGTTCTATCTCCATACAGAGATACTCTTACTTAAACCTTACTCTGAGCTTTCTTGCGCTTAAGTAAAAAGAACACACATCTAAGAACAAATACGCTCATCTTTAAGAGCAAGTTAGAATCCCTTTCATTGTATTCTGAACAAGTTCTCTTCCAGATAGAACTTACTTTCTACTATTTTTTTAACTACATATCTTTTCATATTTGCTAAGATTAAGTGTGTAAACTTTAGATTGTTTAGATAGGTTTTTCTTACCTTATATTTCCGCAAACAATCTTGTAAAATCTGTATTGATCTTCTCTTATCAATATATATTTAAAATTTGAAAATATTGTGTTTGTATTCATCACCCCCCCCCCCTTCTACAAACTATTATACACATCTTGTAGACCCTAACGGGACCAACACAAACTTCTAATCTGAAAAAGAACACTTCAGAGTTCAGACCCCAGAGTTCGGTGAGCTATGTCTGAAAAAGGCAACTTTAGTGTTCGGGTGAGCTAACTCTAAAGAATAACTTAGACTTGTTCTTTTGAAATAACTCTGAAGTAAAACTTTTCAGTAAATTGAATTTAAAATAAAATGAAGTTAAYCYTAGAATAAAATTGAATTTAGAAATGAAACTATATCAGTAAATTGAATTTAAACTTATAAGTAAACACCAATTTTTTTTCGGGAATCAGTTATCACATGAATTAATTAACCCAAGAATAAAATCAATTGCATCCTAAATTAGTGGGATTGATTGAATAAGAGGACATATGTCAATCAAATGAGTATAATTGAAATGTTAATGTAAATTGTGTCTAGATACGTTCAAATTAGTCTAATTGAACCACTAAATGTAAATTGTGTCTAGATACGTGTTTAGGTGGGAAAACAAGAAAACTGACTCACCAGAAGATGACACGTGTCACCCAAGTTACTTATTGAATATAAGTATAGATGTATATACTAGAAGGGTACTTGCATAATGGAGCAAGATACATCTCGATTTTAATATTTCATTTTATTATATGTCTCTGTCGATATAATACGGTCTTATGTGGTTTTGAAAAAGCGACAATATTTTTATTTTGAATAAAATATAAATTTGAAGATACTATAAAAAAATTTAAAAAAATATATCGATATCAGTATCAAATTAACGACCTAAAAGTTCTCTTTTCTTTGTGTAATTTATTTAATTCAATTTTTTATTAAAATTTAATTTAAGTTTAATAACGAATTAATTTATTTTTGATTCAATAATATAATTTTTTATAAAAATAATAATTAAGTATTTTGTTAGTACTCAATAATGATCCTAATTATATTTTAATTTTTTTATATTTTAATTTTTTTATATTTATCATGTATTTGATTATGTTTATTCACAGTTAGTTACACAAATTCAAACATAGAGCTTTAATAAATTGTACATACGCACAATTTATTTGTAATCTTAAATTTGAAGTAATACGCATCAATAAACAGTATTTCATATATAAAAAATAGTTTTGAAGAGTTTTTGTCAAATGTTTATAACATAGTATAGATATGTATATTTATTTACAAATAAAACATTATCAAATAATTTATACACTATATTGCTATACGTATATTTATTCATATATGGATATAAAATGTTATACACTAATCAAAGGGCAGAAGGATATGAAACAACCATGATGGTCTTTGCTCATCTTGAAAGAGAAATTGAGGCTTTCCCAGCGTCAATCATGTTTCTTTATAAATTTCGAAAAATGATACTTCGAAACTGGTAGCAATCTTTTTAAGTAATAATTTTTTTTATATAAAAATAAATATTCACGTGCATTCCTTACGGTCCGGATTCTACAAGTTAACCTAGTAACCACCACTTCTAATTGTATTTCTGCATCAACTGTTTCATAGATTTCTCGGTTTATTCTTCATTCCGATATAATCAGACACTTTTTGGTTTAGTAATTGAATTTTCTTTTGCTCAAATTATAGTTCCTATGTGTTTGTTTATAAGACTATATAATAAAACGTCACATCTAAAGATGTAATAAGTTTATAAGAATTTTAAACATGTTAACAAGTTAGCCGCCATCTTTGGACCGGGACCCTTGGACCATTTATCCAGTTTCTCTATCCTGATTCTTGGAACACTTTGCGTCGTATTAGCTATTTTATAAGACACTTTTAAGAAGTGTCCTTTGAACTCATGTTTTTATAAGACATGTTTTTCATATAAAATAGACAATACAAGTGTTCTAAGAAACTTGTTATGATGCTGGAAGACGTCATATAAACTTATTACAACACTGAACATTGTTTGGTCCTATAAATCAAGTCTTATAAAGCAGTCTTAGACTTCTTTGTTGTCTTATAAATCCAATTTTGTTGTACCAGGAAACTTTATGTTATTGAGATATTAATATGGTAAAACTCACGCAATCCCTGCTACGTATACTTTTTGTTCGGGCTAACCAAGCTTGGCTTTTTATCATATGTCTTTATCATTTTTATAACAGAAGGAAGCATCAAAAACAGTAAGGTAATTAAGTGAACCACTGCCGAAACGAAAGCATAACGAGTTACATATTAAATAGGAAAGATATAAATAGGCGAGTTCATGATAAATGTAATGTAATGAACTGAAGGACTAAAGTAATAATAACATGTTTTTTGAAGACTTGAAGCTCACCATCATATTCCATGCATGGTGTTATGAATAAGTTGAAGTAGTAAAAGCTGGTGGCCACTTAGCAGTTGAAGAAGACAGACGGTTTAGGAAGGTACAAAGTCTGAAGCTGAGGCCAAGTTTAAATTTCAATGGCTGAACAAGTGTTATATCTTAATTCTTTGTTTCTCTTGCAAGGGATTATAGATGTAGATGTAGATGAAGATGATGCTTAAACGGTGTTCATAACACGCATACAATCTGTATAGTTGAAGGCAGATTTGCTCTCGGCTTGTTTCTTCTTAATTCGTTGTTCACCTATGCTTAAGAGAGGAATTCTTGACTTGTATTTATACTGGATTTTGGAGGGAATCGAGCCTGTTAGAACTGCCCATGTGAAGAAGCTAGGAGCTTTACGTCTTCAACATGCTTTACGTCGATTCTTTAACGAACTTAGAGATATTATACAAGTGTTGAACTCTTTAAAGGTTGGGATCCATTTTTGAGTGATATGCATCACATTCCACTTTATGGTACAACCTATTATCTTCATCTTGAAATCTTTAGATTGCTAGCTAGATTACTCAGAAAGTCTTTGTAACACTCGTGTTTTCAGAGAAATACAATAACGGGTTGATTAGGTGACTTTTGATGTAACATTTTTAATTTTCTGAAGTCTGTTTGCGGTTTTATCATAAATTATGTTGTGGGGACAAAAGGATCACAAAAAACAGGATTTTTGGGCATCTAGGGGGTCAAAAAAACCAATCAAGTCACATAATCAGTTGATCAATTAACAGACAAGTCACATAAAGAACACTTACTAACGAAATTGATTCTTACAGAAACTATGGATTCAACACTGGTAATTTCATTTTTAACTTAAAAGAGCATGACTAATAGGGTCTTCATAGCGCAGACACAGAAATGTCATACCTGAATATATAATGCCCATGAAACTAAGATCTAAATTGTTACGATTAATATACAAAATGAACAATGAGGATGCAAAAGAGCAAGTAAGATGCGCCAATCTCCAAAACTTATTCATGTATTTAGTTAAAACATCAGCAGTTCTTGGATGGTTGTAATCTACACCTACCTCTAGCCACTTCCACGCAAAATGCTTCACATCTTTGACATTATGTAGTCCATCGTAGCCACAAGAAAATCTACAGGCCATAAATAGAGATAAGTTATGATATGGTATCCACTTTTCATCTTATCAAACTAAAATTTAACATTAACATGTTTTTAGTCCCTAAACTCAACTGTTTATACTGGAACAAGTTTTATATAGTTAAATGTAACTAACAGATTCTTGAACATAATCAGAATGTTTTTCGGTTCAATTTGAAGATAAAAGGTTAAAAACATTTGTCACTTAAAGTGGACTCCTTTTTTTGAGACACAAGGATTAATTCATGGTACAGCAGTTGCAAGAAGATGAAACCTGCATCTTTTCTGGTGAAGCAGAGGGGAGGGCTGATCCTGAATATGTTCCCGTGAAGTCCACCTTTCCCGACTAGTACTCCCATCTCTAGAACCAAACTATTGGTTAAAAATGGATAAACCAAGGTAGCTAAAAGATAAGAGTCGCAGAGTGACCAAATGAAAATGACCTTTCATTTGTTCCATGACATGCAAGGTTTCAAGGGTTGCAGGAGTCTTAAACTCACGATCCATTACAAGTTCCATTCCGAGCAGAAACCCTCTTCCCCTCACATCACCTATAACTGTTGCAACAAGATGCATGTAAAATAATCATACTATTTGAGAAAATATCGGATTAACGAGTTAAAGGTGGATAAGGGAACTCAAAAAATACCCAAAAAAATAAACCATGTGTATCACATGATGAGAAAAACAATGGGACTTACTTTCATGTTTTTCCTTGAGAGCTAGTAGCTGGTTTTTTAGATATGTTCCTATGGTTAATGCATTCTGCTGAAGCTTCTCATTCTCTATTACTTTGAGAACAGCTAAACCACCGGCTGTACTTACAGGATTCCCACCAAAGGTATTGAGATAACCATGAGAAGTCAACACTTTTGCAATCTCTAAAGTTGTTACCACTGCACCAAGGGGAAGACCATTTCCAATGCCCTGAAATCCCACAAAGTTGAGGTTGCTGGCTTATGTCCATCATCACTCCATTAACTTTTTAGAGAAACATTATGAAAAGAGCTTGAGGATATTAGCAAATATACAAGTGTCAGATATGCTTTTGTTTTGCAAGCGAGGATCTTCATGAAAAGAAGCTCTCTACCCTTGGGGGTAGAGACAAGGTATGGGTAAGAGGTCTATGTACATCTTACCCCCCAACCCTATCTTTGGTTTCGTTATATGCTTACACTGCTATTATATAGTCAATGTTGATCCATTCCAGATAAAGAATGAGTAACGTTATGATGTGGTTTGTCAGTGAAGAACTAGTTAATCAGGAAGAAGCATTGAGATGACTAAGGTAATGCATAGTTCCAAAGACAGGTTATATCATGTTATCTAGAAGACTAGAAAATGTACCTTTGCCATTGTAATAATATCAGGTACAACACCCTGGGCCTCAAACCCCCAAAAATGGCTACCTGTGCGTGCAAAACCTGACTGAACTTCATCAGCTATACAAATCCCTCCTGCCTTTCGAACACTGCTGTAGACTGCTGGAAGATAACCTGGGGCCAACTCATATATTCCACCCACTCCCTGCGAATCATATACACAAACTATTGTAAGGAATATCCCTTGAACAAAGTCGAGAATGGAACCAAATACACACATAACATAAATATTGTGGCAATGCATTTGTGGAATGTCCCACCTGTATGGCTTCCGCGATGAAACCAGCTATACGGCCACAAGTTCCATAAGTAATGATCTCCTCAAGATCTTCAGCATATTTGGGTCCATCTGAACCGAAGATTCCTCTGTATGGATCTGGGTTCAAGGCATGGTGAAATCCAGTCTGTTGAATGTTGGAGGTTTATCATCAGCTAAGCAAGATACATCAATTGTGTTAAGTTTTTCTTTTTGAAGTATATAATATTTTATATACGGTAAATGAATTCACGCACCCTCCTCGCCTTTGGTTAGGTTTGAACCCATGGAGGCAGGATACAGCTAGGCCAAAGACCCTATGGTCACTTGTGTTAAGTTATTGATCACTTCCTTTCATATTAGTAGATTTTTATTAAAAATTTCCTACAAGGTTACTCCCACCTTCTAAGTAAGTTAATTGGTCAATTATAATGGCTTTTAACATGTGTAAGCTAAGAATTATAGTAAAAAATAATGAGATTATAATTGGTATGTTATCAATAAAAAGTTGTACCTGTACAACATTATACTTGAAATTGCGTTGACCAGTAGCACTCATAGTTGCAGCTGCGTTCCCATGATATCCATTTCTAAGAGAAATAATATCATGAAAACCAGTGTACAACCGAGCAATCATTAATGCCAGCTCATTTGCCTCAGTCCCAGAATTTGTAAAGAAAACAACCTGAAATACTGGGAAGTTAAGCTTTGACTCATCATAGTGATTAATAGAACAGAAAAGCCATAATGATCATATGAGAAGCTAACGTACATTGAGATCCCCAGGAGCCTTGGATGCAAGAGCTTCAGCAAAATCTGCACTAGCTCTGTTCAAGTACAAGGCAGTCGTGTGTTGCAACCGCTTTGTTTGGGTACAAATGGCTTCCACAACTTCAGGATGACAGTGACCACAACTGACAGTTGCAATACCTCCAAAGGCGTCCAGATATCGCCGACCACTCTCATCAAACAGGTATTGCATCTTTCCATCAACTAAATACAACTGTTTACAGAATTACAGATTGACAAAACGAATAATCATTGGAATAGGCCAAAAACCAATAGACATCATTAACAACTTTTATTGTTAAAAGAACTTCAAGGTTAAGAAACATAAAAATCACTTAGAAGGTGGTGCAAGTGCCATCTTTTTGCAGTCCTTCCGTCGAGATATCACATTCTGTCATATTCAAATCTCGGGTTCTTCAGGTTTAAATTAATATAATAATTTTGACAATTTTAACACCAACATTTACTGTAATTTAATAACTTTTTTCAAAGTCTACTAAACATTTCATGACTTCCCAAATCCTTTTCTCAGGCAGGTGTGATCCTTAGGTAGAGCACAGGACCCTACCCACTGACTATAGTCTATATACAGGGCCGTTCCGTTTGGTTTGAAGTCCACGTCAGAAATCAAATATCAAGTCCCATTGACCTCAATCAAATTTAAGTATGCAAGGTTACATCACACATTATATATATATATATATAAAATACATATATATAAAGTGTTCCTTCCACCGAAGTCTATTTCTAGAATTTCATGCTCCTTCCACTCTAAAAAGTAGCTAAATTTTGATTTTTGATGCTAAAGCCTAAACTTTTGCTTTTGTGTATTCTGTTGCAAATACAACACCAATGTTGTTCAATTACTGCATTACCTGTGGTAACTTTGTTTAGATGAGTTTAAAATAGACATCAATTTGAAGCTCAAAACTAAGCTGTTTAACTTGAAAGTCCAATTATATTTTTTCCGAGAAGGAGAAGAGGATCTCATTACAATTAGACCACCGGCCATATTTGTATCCGATTTCCACATCAACTGTTGGCATATCTAAGTTTAGATCAATACTGCAGTTTCAGAGTAATACAATCAGATCAAAATCCGTAAATCAAGCATGCGGTTAAACTACAAGCACACACGCATATAGAAGATACCGTCAGAATTTATATGTGGCAACATCAAACAGTTTAGTGAGATAGCGATGTACGGGATTTTTGTAGAAGTAGGACATGCAAGGGCTCAGGTGGCGCTGACGCTTCTCGAGAATCTCAGCCGCAGACGGTCCGTCGTACGGCGGAGTCGTGTAGCCGAAAGGCGGCATTTGCGGAAGAAATTCTTTGTCATTTTCAGTAAGAACAGCCGCTGGCTCAGATTTCTGTGCTAGCTTTGTGAAAGATCGAGGGTTATATTTGAACAAGGGCGAGGAGGTTCTACTTGCAAAGATCTTCAGCATTTTTCCGAAGAATCCCACACACAAACGCAAAATATCTACCCTTCACACCACACCCACAGCAGAGAGTCCGGAGAGAGAAGACGTCTTGAACCATGAACCGGTGTATAATGGAATGGTTTTTCGAGTGAGATGAATTTTGTGAAATGATTTGGAATCAAGATACTAGTGTTACACTTTCTGTTGGGTTACCAAAAGATACGATTAATCTGGCCATGTTAGTCGTACATGAACATGAATGATGTCTCTCATTTGGCATTTTGTGGGTTTTTGACAAGTCATACATGAACACGAATCATACGTTACCAAGCTAGAACATTATCATGTATGTAAAAAAACCAAGGATGAGTTGGCCGCCCGGTGTTTGATCGGTTCTTTACCATTATAGAACCTGTTTCTCATCGACCAATTGAACCACGTTCATGATCTGTTGCAGACACGTGAGGTTCTTCATAATCTGAGGTTTCTTGGTAGGAAGAAACCGCCCACCAGACCCTCTGATTTTTGACAAGTTTGTTTTGAGCTTCAAGCTTAGCACGAATCTGTCGCCTTTTTAGAATATCTTGATACTGTTTTGCGTTGACATAAATAGGGCCGTCTTCTGATAGATCTAGAGGCAATGGAACTCGGGCATGAGCTATTTGCACGTTATGAGGTTGAATCTATTCAAAGTACCAATAAGAATTTCACAATAGCAAGTATATTTCCGATCCTAAGAGCTATAATTAGTAAAATCAATCAGGAATAAATAGATAATTGTATTATTCTTTATTAGTGGTATTTCATTATTATTAATCTTGTTGAACTCAATGACCATCTCTTGCTTTCTCTCTCTCTCTTGATTATTATTGATCCTGTAAACACTTTCTTATTCTCCACATAACTTCCCAATGCACCCTCTTATATGCCTCATCTAGGTTGATGAAACCATATGAAGTCCTTTACCATCTCTTGTTTCTCTCCATAAGTTGTCTGGTAAATACATTAGTAGTCTTCTTATTAACTTTGTTATTCAGGTAATGGACGCGAACAATGCTAACTTTATTGCTAGTGATGCATCTAAAAAGAATAAGCCAAAACTTGTTTGGGATAATACTAGCTTTATGGTGTTCATTGATTTGTGCATGAATGAGGTTAAAAATGAGAATAGACCTGGTAGTCACTTCAATAAGCTTGTGTGGGGAAACATAGAAAATAGGGGTGTTCAAAAAATCCGTTGGACCGCTCAAACCGGCCGAACCAAGTCAAACCAGACCGTTTTTGGCGGTTTTAGCGGTCTGGCTGTTTGGTCTGGTTTGGAAAATAGCAAAACCGGGTGGTCCAGTCTGGTTTGCAGTCAGGAACTTTTTTTAGGCGGTTTGGACCAAACCGACTGCCAAATACATATTTATTTATTTATTTATTTTAGTATTACCAATCTCAACTATGATCCAAATGTATCCCTAAGCCTAACATCTAGCATAATCAATCAAATGAATCGCCACCTAAAAACCACAAAACTAATAAACATATTGACACATTTGACATTGACGGTCTCCAAATTTTGAAATTCCTCAAGAACTCTACCAATCTATCGATCTTTCTCAATTCATGGTTTGATTTCGGCGCACATCATTAAGACATGAACCAAGTGATTCAACCAACTAAGATTGGTCTTTTATTTTGTTTGGTTAAGAATTGAAGGTTGTGAAGTCGTGGATTTTGTTACTCAATACTCACAGTGGAATTGTAACTTTGTTAATTTGTTTGTTTTCTAATATGTATTATATATTTATTTGTTTGGACTTTGATTGTTTGGATTTTGGACTCAAGAGCTATTTAATTATTACATTTATTTGTTTGGATATTTTATTTTGTTAAAATGAATATTTAATCTAAAATTCTAAATTATATATGTTTTTTAAGTTTAATATTTAAAATTCATTAAAGGCCTAAACCGCCTAAACCGATCAAATCAGACTGCCTTTTTGTGGTCTGGTTTGACCGGTCTGGGCACTTGATGTCAAACCGCTCGGTTTGAAATTTTATAAACTGCTATTACGGTTTAGTTTGTGGTCTGAGTGATTAAACCGCCCAAACTGGACCGCGAACACCCCTAATAGAAAAAAAGATTAAGGAACGGACAGGAAAATCTTTTGACGAGAAGCAACTTAAAAACATATGGGACACTATGAAGAAAGAATGGAAGTTGTATGATCGTTTAATGAGGATTGAATCTGGCATTGGATGGGATCCCGTGAGAAAGACAATTGCATCACCAGAGTGGTGGAACGAAAAAATAAAGGTAATACTTACTATTTTATATATATTCTTTTGTTTGCTATTACTTTTTTATGAGTTCCTAGTGAAATTTGCTAATAAGAGCCTGTTGATCATCTTTCTCAGTGATTTGATGATAATCCCTTTTAACTTATACATTGTATTTATGTTTCTGTCTTTTCAGTTCCAGCGATCTTCACTGAGCATGTTCAATGATCGCTGAAGATCTTGTATTGTAAATCTATCAGAAACAGAGATACATCAAGAAGACATCACTCACACCACAGAACCTTCAGCAAACGTCGAAGGCTGAAACTGAAGATTAGAGACTGGCGAGTACGTGATCTGAAGCGGTACTCAGTAATTACAAGCCAGTCTACATATGTGTGAAGACTGCTCAAGCTTCAGCGAATGATGAAGAGACCTTCAGGGCATTCCAGCATTCAGCGATCAAAGGAAGCTTGCTTAGCACAATTGTTGTTGTCTTGTCCTTATGCACACAAAGAACAAAACCCATACCCTTAAGAAAGTTGGTATGGTACGGAGCCGACTACTCGACTCTATTGTCCACCAATTTTAGGTAAGGATATCTACTCATGAATAGTGCTTTTTGTACTATTCACTGTAGCAAAGGACAAGCCTTCCTCTTAAGGCTTGACACACACTCTAACCCTACCATATTGCCTTAAATGGACATTTAATGCATTGGGTATAAATAGAAGTGTTTCTTCTCTATGCAGAGTGCGTGCAACTCACTCTCTAACCCTAATTCTTACTTCAAGCATTTTCTAGCTTAAGTAAAAGATCTTCTTTACAATATTTCTTTTCTTGTATTGCTAAGATTTAGTGTGTAACCAAAGATTGTTTAGATAGGTTTTTATCATCTTATCTTTCCACAAACAATCTTGTAAAATCTGTATTGATCTTCTCTATCAATATATATTTTAAATTTGAAAATATTGTGTTTATATTCATCCCCACCTTCTACAAATTGTTTTACTCTTCTTGTAGACCCTCAAGGGGCCAACAAGTGGTATCAGAGCAGTGCTTTTTCTCTCTCTTTCTGTTTTGTTGTTTTCAGTATTAGTTTATCTTCTTTCTTACATAACTTTACCGTTTACAAATGGCTTTATAAATTACAAACAAACACACACAAGACAATGCCTCTCTTGCCAAACCTCCCCGGTTTGCCCGTGACAATTTTAGTCTCTGGAAGAATCGGATGTCCCTCTTTCTTGAAGGTGTGGATCCTGAAATTCCACATTGTATTGAAAATAGACCATATATTCCATTTGTTATTGCTCCGGTTGTTCCAGCAACAGCTACGACTGCCGCAATTCATGAACGGCAGATTCCAAAGCTCCCACATCAATGGAGCGATGAAGACAAGAAGAAAATAACTATAGACATGCGTGCTTGGTCTATAATAGTTATGTCTCTTCCTGATGAGATTTATCACTCAGTTATGAAACTCAAAATTTCTAAATCCATGTGGGACACACTTTGTGTCCAATATGAAGGAACCACTCAGGTTAAAGAGACCAAAAAGATCAATCTAGTAAGATAGTATGAAAGCTTTCTCTGTTGAAAGTCTGAGACGCTGTCCTATTGGGTTCAAGTTAGAGTGTTAAAGTTGTATTCAAGTTTCTCCTTAGAATAGCTTTATTTTGTAATAGTGTAATTTTATTATTCCTAGTATAAATAGTATATCTCTTTGTAATTGTCATTAACCAAGTCATTAGCAGATTTGTAATCAAGATTAGAGCTGTAAATTTCTCTCTCTTAATCTAATCAATCTTTGATAATTCTCTCTCTACTTTATGTTCATCTTGATTCTTGAAGATCATATCATGTTTGTATGATTTCTGGACTTCACAATTGGTATCAGATCAAGCTGCAGCAGTTTGGATTAGAGGATTAAACAGATTTTGCACGATTTTCAAGATTTTTTGAAGATTCATCGATCTGGGTCATAAAGTTCATCACTGTTCTTGATAGTTCTTCATCCATATTGGGTTTTTGATCATAAATCGGTTATTTTCTGAGTGTTATTTGTAAAGATTTACACTACTAGATTCGCTTTTACATTTCGAACAACTTTGATTCACACTATTTTTGTTTTTAAACAAGTTTTAAACCAGTTTTGATCRAAAATTGATATTTYRTATTYTGGAAAATTTTCTTCAAAACTCATAATTTTTCATGTTTTGATCCAAATTTTTGGTAAAAAGTGTGAAAGTTTGTGTTTTTGGTTGAAGATTAATCCGATTAAAGCTTGTGCCATTTAAGGGTGTTATCCGCTTATCTCTTGTGCGATTTAACATCCGTGTGATTTTTAGTTGTTTGATATAGGTTATCCGGACAACACTTGTGCGGATATTTGAACGATTTAAACAATCCGCCTGGTAAACCGTTCATAACTTGTGCGGATAAGTGTGTGATTTAAACAATCTGGCTGGTAAGTCTCAAGTAACTTGAACGGATTTGTGACCGATTTACATAATTCGACTGGTAAGTCGTTGAAGGTTTGTGCGATTTATTGAACTATTTAATCAATCCGCTTGGGAAGACGATAAATTTTGTCTACTTGAGCGATTTATATCATTGATCATATATTCCTTGGTGATTGAACGGATATTGATCTTTTTGATCGATTTATTTTGTTGACTTTTCATCGATTTGTTTTTAAAAGGACTTATACGTATTTTGACTTGTTGACTTAGTTGACTATTGACTTGTTGACTTTTTACGTCCGATCTTCATTTTTGGAAATTTGACTAAGTGTTCAAAACCTCCGATTTGAGATTTTTAAATCAAATTGATTTTTTTGCTTTATCCGTATTTGATTTTGCATAATCCGTGTGATTTGTGAATACTTTGTTAAAATCTGGTTAAGTCT